GGTTTTGATACGTGCCACCAAAACCCGTGCCATCCCGAAACCACCCCGCGCCATTACGATCCAATTTTCTTATAGGGACGGGATCTTCCGTATTTTGTTTTTAAATGCTGTATACATTGATCGACTATAACCGGTTATAGTCGACTATTAGCGATAGTAATAGCCGACCGTAACCGACCGTAACCGACCGAACCCATCCCTAGTCCATTGCCAACTCTGCCTATAATAATTGTCGCGAAGTCAGATTAAAATGAAATTTGGAGTCTTTATTTAACTCCCTAAAATCCACTTATACTTGTTTATATAAATTCTACCCTAAAGCTGACCCTAACGCTAATAAAAAGCTGAAAAAATTGTATCCCAAAATTTTACAATCTCATTTTAATCTGATTTCATTGCCACATTTTATTAATCAATTGATTATAAAATAGTGTCACCTATACACAAAAGTTCCCGAAATATAGAGTTTAATCTTTTTTGCCACCATGAATAGATCGATGACCAAACTAGGATTAGAGTTAGGGTGTGCTGATTTTATAATGTTAATCATTGTTGTTGTATCACATGTGAAATGCTTTTTATAACAAATTCACTATAATAAATTTTTTTTCGTATAATTAAAAAATAACTATAAGAATTTTTAATAAGAGTCGTTGGTCAGTTATTTAGAGTTAAATGTATACATCATTCCAAATAAGGTATAATATGAAAAAAAATAGTGAAAAGATAAGCAAAATATATTTATTTAATCTATAATTCAAGAAATATTGAGACATTAATACAGTCAAACCTCTCTACAATCACACCTTTGATTTTAAGAAATTTGTGCTTATAGAGAGTTCGTGCTTATATAAAGATTGAATTTTATAAGTGTTATATAAGTTGGTTTTAAACATTTATGTAGTTATAAGCAAATGTGACTATAGAAGAGGTGACCATAGAGAGGTCTGACTGTATCGAGAATCGAAGAAACTTGACCTTGATTGGTATCGATATTATTTAATATAAATTGCAAAAATTCTAAAAATGAGTACATCTAGCCTGAATAAATGATTAGATAACGTGGTATAATTGCCTGCAACATAAATATAAATATTTAATTTATCGAATATTCTATATAATCCAAGTTCGCTTAAACAAATATACACAGTAAAAGGTATTGACAAACCTCTGCACTGGCAACGGTACACTCGCTACCAGAATTATTGGATGCCCCGACGACATCAATTATAAACATGGCCCTAGATGATCCTACTCCTGCTGCGGCATATCCGTGCGAATACCACGCGTCGGGGGAAAACCAAACGTGACCTATTGTTTTTAAAATTTAATCAGGATTCATATTTAATCAAAAATCATAAAAACATGAATTATTATTCACCATTATTCAATCTAAATCCTGTACGGATTATATTGCAGACGCAGCAGGCTGCATTTGAACAAATGCCCGAATTATTTAAATTTCTTATATCGCAATTATGTTTAGTTCCATGAAAATATTGTGAACAATTTAGATTTATATTTCTTTTTTTATAGGCTTCGTGATTTTGGTTAATGTGTTTGGGAACTTCTACACGAAAAATAGAATGTACTTGTACACTATATCTAGCTGCCATCTTTGTAATAAAGTTGGTGTGAACTTTTAGGTATTCACCGGAACTAGGAGTCAAATGAGTAGTCATCGCCATTTTAGAAAAGAATAGTTAGAGTATTTTCACATGAGATCGATCGATAGAAAAACGCTTTATTTAAATCTTTTAATTTTTTTTAAATATAATTAGTTAAAATTCTATGATACTAATACAAGATTAACTTTTTCTATCTATATTATTAGATAATAGGATGAGTTACGCGTCATATTCATCATCTTGATTACAAAATTCTGTTTTGTATTTGCGCGATCCATTTAAAATTACTATGACCTGATTAAAAATGCATAATAATAGTCTATAGTTCTTTTTAAATTATTTGTTTCGGTCACATTATCTAAACTATTATGAAAAACTATAACAAAGTCTAGTATAATAATAATGCGTAATTCGCGTGCTTGTAACACAGACAGTTTGTTGCAAGATATGATAGGTATGGTGTTGTTAAGGCTCATTTAACCTATTATACTAAAGAAACGGGGGCTAAAAGCAAATCCTTATTTTGACTACTCGAAAAAAGTAAAACATATTCATTTATCAAAATCCAGCAGTTATATTAATAACAATATCAATTTAATTTTTAATCCGAATTATAAAAGTTTATAAAATTAGGTTTTTTGCTTTCCTTGTACATAGTCTATTAATTTAGCTTGAAGGTATGTATTTACGTACGCACGTACATTATATCCACACGAACTATAATTATATTAAATTTCAAATGAGTATAACTTAATATATTTTAATTTGAGTGCGTGAGAGTGAAAACCTGGAAACCGATCATAGTAAATCATTAAATCGGTTTCCAGCTTTTCACTCACGCACTCATTTAAAAAAAAACTGAGTTATTTCAAATGAGTATGACTTATTAATTTAAAAAAATCGAATTATTTAAAATGAGTATAACTTATTAATATACATATTTTGATTTGAGTTTATTTAGACTGTAATCTACGTTTATTCAAATTTGTTTTAAAAAAATTTTGTAGTTTAATAATTTTAACGACAATCAAACTATTCGAAATAGTCAATTTTCAAAAGTAAAAAAAATATTACATAAAATTATTGAGCCTAAGAGCGAAACAAATGTACAATCTTTACACATTTACAAACGATAATATACAGAGATAAAATGAATTTTCTAACTGAAATGAATACAATTATAATCCAATGCCCAAAACAATAATAATAATAAAATAATAATGATAAAATAAATCAATTGTTCTTAAGCCATACGAAGCTAATGTCTTAGTTTTTATGAGACCTTTAAATGACTCGGCCGGCCAACTTTTTTTTTTCTTAAATTCCATATATATATATTTTAAAAATTGAACCGGCCGTGTTACAAAAACCAATAAATTAATTTTGTATGGCCTAATTGACAAAGGTTTCGACTTGATCCTCATTATCAATTTGTTCAAGCCCTTGTTTTACTTGTTTTACAGAATCCTATAAAATATACATATATGAATTAATATTTGATGATACCTTTTTTTTTTCGTTTTGAAAATTAAATAAAGATAATAAATTACCACAATCACAGCATCTACGCCAGCTCTTTTTTGTAATTGCGCGTTAGCAACATCATTATTTAATCTACCATAAGTAAAAAGTAATAATCCAGATTTTTTAACTATTTTAGTCAATCCTGGAGCCTCAATAATAGGGTTACAATTAGCAACAATTCCTGACAAACCAGCAAATTTAGCAAACCTAATCGCTGCTTGTAAGGAATTACATCTTGCATCTGCCATATTGTAAATGCCACAATCGGACAAGAACAATACAGGATAACTTGGTTGTTTAAATGCAAGCATTAAACAAATTTCCGGATGAAATGATGAAAAAATTATTTTACGTTCTGATTGAGCATGCTCATATACACATTTAAGAATTGCATCACAAAAGCTATTTAATTCTGTATAAAATGGATGAAGTTTAAACTCTTCTGCTTCAACAACCATTGGGTATTTTACCTCAATGTTAAACCCAATATTAACGGGAACTCCCTTGAAATTCAAACATAAAAAATTAAGCAAAAAATGGTTAAGTTTAGAATACAACTTATGCACAAGAATAAAAAAAATGTTGGTTATAAATTACTTTGAATGTCTCTTCTAATATAGTGAAAGGTGCTTGAATTGTACCAGCACCGTTTCCTTTTAACTTTCCAACATTGTTTTCATCGATTTTTCTATATTTCGCCTTGTTAATTGAACTCATACTATTGGATCGTTTGAGCTTTCCAGATGAATTTGAACTAAGTGTACTACTTGAATCATCATTTGAATAAGCTTCGTTAAAATCTTCTTCTACTGAATTGTCCTCATTTTCTTTTTCCTTTAGTCGAAGGAATTGCTTTAAAGTTACAGAGTGTATCGGAATATCAAATCCAGTTTCTGTGACATACCAATCATGATAAATGACTGGTACAAGATCTTTTGTAACTTGACAATCTGTTAAAGAAAAAAAAATATATATATATTATTAAATAACTTTCAAGAAATTTTTTTTTTTTAAAAAAAAAAAGGAATATACCAAATTCAACATATTCGGCCCCGTGGGTGGCAGCTGTTACAAAAGCTTGTAATGTATTCTCACCCATCTGTAACCTTGAATTTTCTCTAAAATTAATATTTTCACCCATTCCACGATGACCAATTACTTTGGTACCTGACGATCTTTCCCATATGCACCTGGTTCTATTCTCTAAATTTTCGAATCTGAAGGGTTTAACGACTAAATATTCAAATTGAATTTTGCCAATAACAACATCAACACCTAACCCTAATGACCCTAATATAGGAACTGTGACACATCCAATAAGAGAAGTATGATTCGGTCCAGAATACGTTTTAAACGATGGTAATGCAGCAGTTGCACGACCTATCAATTGTCTCCTAGGGCCATAGATTGGCATTATATCAAATATTAATGTAACATCATTTATATCTTGCTCTCGCGCATAAAACATTATCGGGTCAATTGCGATATTATCCTTTATAGGAAGGTCAATGGTAATCTTCTCTCCAGTAGCATTTATGGCCCAAACAACAATAGAAACCGGTGATGCAAAACTTATTGTATCATTAAATTTAATAGGAACAATATCTTTACGAATATCTGTTGTTCCAAGTGTAATAAATATTAATGAATTATCTTCGAGATACCTATTTTGATTCATCACATTGACAGAGGCTTCTTGTCGAGATACATTATCTTGAGGTGATACCATTGTCTCATTATTGGTCGAAAGAGAAGGAATATTGATTTCACCCGAAGGACGTAAAATGTTCTTCATAGTAAGATGACCACGAAACAATGCATGCATATGTGGAGTCCAACCAGAATAATCTGCAATATTATGGATGGCTCCTGATTGTATCAATGCTTCAACTGTTTCCTTATGGCCTTCAATCACTTTTAAAAATGATATTTAGCTTATTAATATTTGACTTATTAAAAATGATATTTAGCATATTATTATTTGACTTATTAAACTAGTTAATCAAGCGTATTTACCTGCTAAAAATAAAGGTGTCCATCCACTATATTTTTCCCTGATCTCCATATTAGCATTATGTTCTCTTATCAATAATAAACAACAATCGGTAAAACCACCTCTGGACGCCAGGTGCAAAGGTGTTTCTCCATCTTCATCTTGTATATTGGGATTTGCACGGTAATTTAACAATGTTTTAGCCACCGAATAATGACCAAATTTACATGATATCGCAAGTAAAGTTTGTGTAGCGGTAGATGTTGAAGAATTCATTAATCTTGGCACTAAAGAAGTGTCCCTAACTATAAAATGATTTGCCAATTAGAACATAAAATTCAACCACATATTATTTGAAAACAATTATAAATTTAAATCTCGCTAAACGTTAACCACAGCAATCTTAAAAGCTTTTAGAGTTACTACTTACCATTAGTGGAATTGTCCACATCCGTAACTTGACCAATTCTTATGATGCAATCAATTACATCAACATTGTTATTTAAGGTTGCATAGAATAATGGCGTATACCCATCATCATCATACCATACTTTGTCATTAAAACCCATTTCTAAAGTAAATTGCTCAACTCTCATTAAATACTCTAAGAGGGTTTTTGTTATTCGCTCAAATCCCTTAATTGCAGCATAGTGCAAAGGATTTTTACCATAAATATCTACAGAGAAAGCCTGAGTGTGGTTAGGGAGATGCTCAAGAATACAGGAAATGATTCTTGGGTCATCTGATAAAAATGAATTGTCTAAAGTAGGGGAAGCAGCAGGCGATGTTGTGGGTAAAATGCCACCATTAATTACTAACTTATGTATCAGTGAACGTTTGTTAATGTCTTTTTCCTCAAGAATATTTACACCTGACACAATTAGTAGCTTAATACAATTCATGGCTTTGTAATAACACGCTTTATAAAGCATAGATATTAAAATCTGAAATCATAGCAAAAATTAATAATGAATTAAAAGACTATCCAATATATATATAATATATATATATAGCAAGATATATACAGTATATATAGTACAATGAAATACCTTTTGAACAACAGGATTGGCTTGATTGATCATTCTGTTTTCAGAAACTTCATCCTCATTTTCTGTTTTGATATCTGATACCATTTCATCTATTAAATTATGAAAAGTACTCGTATCATCATTTCTGATCGCACTTAACAAAGCTGTATTATTCAAACTATGGTTTGGACTTGATAAATGACTATTATGATTGACATTTTCATTTGCAACCTTGCGGTGCGCCTCCAGAATCCATTGCTCAATTGATTCCAAATTTTCGATCAATGCTGAACACGAAGCAAGTGGAAGACCATTGACCTAATTTCAAAATTCTATGTTAGTTGGATTTGAAAAGAAAATATTCTACTATATAACATATCATCATACATAACAAAGATAGCGCGATCTCTTACACTAACAGTTTTGCATAATAAATTATGCATATTTACAATTTTCCCAAGTAACTATTATTTTGGATCACAAACCTTTGTCTCCAAATAACTATTTTTTCTCTCTTGTTTTAGCTTCTTATCAAATCTTTTATATGAAGGTGAAAATTAAAAATATTATAAATCACAAAAAAATAAAAATAAAATAAAATAAAATAAAAATAAAAATAAATAAATAGAATCATTATTACTTTTTTAATATTTTATTTAATGCTTTTATGTTCAAAGCAGCAAAGCGTAGTAGATTATTTATTTTGTCCTTGGTTTCTACCAAATCCAAAAAAAACTCGTAACAAGCATCTTGATCAAAATTCAAATTAATGTTATTATGATCAATCCCATTCAACGCATTATTATGAAAGTATTGATATTTTTCTGATAATTCCTTAAATATTTGCTCCATTTTGGAGCTCTGAATTGTAAAGTAAGCATTGGTTTTTCCGAGTTCGTAGTCAAGAGTCGAAAAAAATTCTTTATTAATGATAATAAATGATTAGTGTTAAATATTATGAAATTCGTGTACAGCGATATATAACAATCTTACCTGTTATACAATCATCGTACCCCTGATTTGATTGCAACTTTTTTAAGGCATTATTTATTATCCTTTTCAAATGCTTATAGGATATGTAATGTCTATTTACAAGAAATTATATAGTAAATAGCAATTATTGTATTGTATAAATATATATATCTATATAACATAAAATTACGTAAAATGCTCTAAATTTCTTACCCGATCCACTCCGGTATTTGATTTTGAAAAATTTTTTTACCAAACTTCATTACTTTCTGATTTATTTTTTTTTACCAAGGATTATTAAATCTAAAATATTCCACGTTAGTATACGCTGTAAAAATTGTTCCGAGTAGAAAGAAAAGACGCATAAGGAAAAGCATTATTTAATATTTATTTATTTGAAAGTGGTACAAAAGTTTCTTAATGCATCATATTCGCATACGCGTTTAGATTTGTACATATACACACGTTTTTATAATCATTATTTGATAGGCTCCTAATTGCAAATCCTTACATTAACTGTCCGTGTTACACGAAGTTCCTTTTTTTCATTTTTGGAAGTAGCGGTGGAGATAGGATCCGGATATCCATATTCCCCAATTTTTGCTGTTTATTAAATGAAATTATAACAAATAAATCGGATATCTAGACATTCATCAATTTCGATATGCAACAGATCTTATCTCCAGTTAGAAGGTACAACAAATACATGTTGATAACATTCCGCGAAAATTAGCAATCGTAATTGCACTAGGAATCATATTAGGAATAGCTGGTAGTTTTCTGCCTGCTTAAGCAAGGACCGTAAGTGAAATGATATAATCGCGTGTATTCCATTTGAAGTTGATTGAATGGATCGTGGGATTTTTCGATTCAAACACAACCACTTTTCTTGTATCCATTTCTTATTATTTTTATTATTATATTCATACCAACGCCTTTATTACTTGATTCGTTATGCTAAGAATATCCTCTTTATGTTTTATCCTTATTTGAATTAGTCCTTCCCACGCTCATATCGCATATGATACGTAATATTTTTAAACGGGGTGATCATGTGGTTGCTTTTCCTTTCGATTCCATTACATATATCATATTGTGCCGCTTCTCCGTTATCTCGCACTACTTTGAAATTTTTTTTCTCTTTCTCGTGTGCTCAAAAAATCTTTTTTATAACCCTTTTGTGGAGTGAAACTCTGAGCGCTTCAAAAGCATAAAAATAAACAATTTATACATAATGCATCTCTAAAACACGTTTGTATTGGCATCTTGAAATGTAGTCCAGAGTGATGAAATCCGTGTATGGCTTAGGCCGCTTGAAGTTGAAACTTCGTTTAACGTTATCCCCCCCCTCCATCTTCCGGGTTCCCCCAAAAATTAAACAAATAGAAATGAAAATTTGATCGCCAGCATAGCAGTCGG